TGCTCTCCCTTCCCCGAGTTTTCTCCGGAGAGGCTGGGGAACAGCCAGCCCGCCAATCCCACCGGCACACCCCCACCCCCCCACCGGCACACAGCAAGCAGAAGGAGGGGAGGGGAAGGCAAAGAGATTTTTGAAAAAAATAAAACACCCGAACAGGTAGGAACCCGCTCTACAAGGACCGAGCAACTCGCCCAATAGGCTCATCAGGTTGCTCCATAAATTATCCTAAAATCTGCTGGGCGAATCAATCCCTAGCAGAGGCGGAGTCTCCTTTACTAGAAGGAAACATGCTTGGAAGGAAGAGTGGCATTGATGTGCTATTTTCTCCAAAGAGGGAAATACAGTAGATCATATATATATATATATATACACACACACACATACATATTACGCACATGATATACAAATTGTTAAATATATACTTAAAGCTGCATATATAGAGATTTACATATTTTTAATTTTATTTTTTTTAAAGCTACCCAGAGGGCGGCTTGCGATCTGAGAGGCAGCCCCTCGGCCTTGCCGAGCGGAGACCCGCAGCCGGGAGCAGCGCCGGGCGCTGGATGCACCAGGACACCCGCGGGGACCGCGCGGTCCCGCGCACGGCACCACGGCGATGAGGGGAGGGCAGAGCCCGCAACCCCGGAGGCTGCAGGCGGCTCCGCTCTGCGCGGCTGCGGAGCGCCCCCGGGGGGGAAGGCGAGGAAAGCGGGCGTTGCGCGGGGCTGCAACATGCAAAGCAGGTTTTTTCGTGGGTTTGTTTTGTACGTGTTTTTTCTTTCTTCCTGTCGTCCCCTCTGCTGCTCCCTCCTGCCGCCCTTGGGAGACCGACAGGGGATAGTAGCCAAAAAAACTCAACCAAACCCCAAACACAAAGACCCCAATATAACCCTCACCAAAGCAAACTCGAGCCAGGGAAAGCTCCACGGTGTCGGAGGGGCGCCGGGGGCTCCGCGCCTGCTGCCCGCTCCCCCGCTGGGGCCCCGGCGTTACGTCCTGGCGAGAGCAGCGCTTAAATAACGCGTATTTCTGTGCACTACTCCAGGATAGGATGGCCCCTCGGTCTCTCCCCAACCCGGTCCCCTGGCCCTGGAGATGTCCCCGCTTGCAGCTTGTTGTGGGGCTCTCCTGGAGTAACCTGCGCTGCACGATTCCCAGCGTAAGGAGCAAACTGTGTTATAACTGCACAGGAATGAAAATAAACCCCCATTCAGTGGTTATTCCGATGAAAGGCAGTGTTTTGTTCTCGGTTCTCCTGCCTCTTTATACATCATCATCTGGCTATTGCTTTATATTTACAGCTTACAGCTGCTTTAATGGTTAAAGAAACTCACCACGCTTCAGAGAGCTGCAGTACATTAAGTGAAAATTCAACGACTTGAAAATTAATAGCCAGTCCTGGGGGTACTGGCAGAAGGTAAAGGCACATATTATTGTATGACCTGAGGTTTCTTTATTGGTGGCTTAACACAGCAGGCAGCGTCCTAGCACGATAGCAGAGGCATGAGCTCAGAGAGAATACACATTTATTACAGAGTAAGTGCAGAAGCAGCTCCACTGCTGCGGCTAGTGGCACCGGCTCCAAGGAGAAGAATTGCTGTGCACCTCAGCAAGAAAATAAGCATAGCCCATCCCCAGGTCCCTTTCTCTCTGGGACATACTTTTGCCCTGAAAACAGAAGAGGTCTTTAGGTTTATTAGGGATTGATCTGTCAAAATTACTTCAGTTTGCAAAATACACAATGAACTCTGCTAATGCCTTTGCATCCTGATGCTTATGAAGCCATTAAAACTCTAAGTACTAATCTATAAAGTTTCATCCTGTCACTAAAATACATTACATACTTAATGTGACTACTGAAGAAACTTTGACATAAGAAATTTAAGGCTGCTTAGAGGATTGCAAATCATCTTCTACATACAGTCAATTTCACCCCCATCTAAGTCCAGCAGCTTGCTAGCACTGAAAGAGATGGAGCATTACAGCTAAAATAACTTGTAGCATGAATGCTGTGAAAATGATTTTTTTTCATTTGATTTCTAGATTTAGAATGCTAAGGCACATTAAAATGCCATTAAAAATAATTTAAAACATCAACAGCGCCAATGAGATTTCTCAAACAACAGAGGACTAAGGATGATATCTGAAACATGGTTTCAGATTGTTCCAAACCTGAATTTCCCTTGTACTTAATCATAAACAATAGAAATCCATCCCTCTTGAAGCTAGAGAAGAATATATTCCATTACTAAGTAAAATATTACATGAAAGATAGGTATTGACATCTTGAAAAGCAAACAGGAAACAAAAATAATACAAACTCTTTAACTACCAGAAGAAAACTTGGCAGCAAAAATAATCTCAGATTGTCTGTACTCCTAAGGAATAAAAGAAGCAATAAAGGAAAACTGCAAAATGCAAAAGAGGATATTGAAGAAAAGCTGGGGAAATTAGCTAGATGACTGTCAAAGGAAGGAGATGCTGGGGCAGGATAATGAACTAAAGGACAGTGAGTTACCAAAGCCTGCTGATATTCATCAGCCACTTGGTACTGCAACAGGCAACCTAAAAACAATATTTAAATTCTCAGTTAAATCATCTTCTCCTCCTTGGAGCAAGAGGGCTGCCTTAACAACAACAACAAAAGAAAAAAAAATAATGAGAGAATGGAGATGAAATTGATCAACAGTGGAATTTCAAACCTGTGAAGCATCACTTCAGTAGCAGCAAATTGAACAATGTTTATGTACAAGCAAAACTGTAGGATTCAGATTGCTCTTATTATTGAAGAGGCACAAACCAGAAAGGCTTCTGCAAAGTAAAACCACTGTCTCTACCTTCTTCAGTCATATTTGATGAGTCTGTGAATAGAAGAATAGGGCTACATAACTCACTGTCTTTCAAAGCCTTTTTAAGTCTATCAGTTATTTGTTAAAAGAGCTGCATAGTTATGTGGTGAGAAATCTTTCAGAAACTGCTTGAGACTACTGTCACAGTGCTCAACTTTCCATGTTAAAAAGATTAATCATGAGTTCTGATGAATCTGCTCTTGAGATTATTTTATTTAACTGATTCCCCACTGAAGTAAAGGTTGTAAAGGCAAGAAATAGAACAATTTACAGAATAAAGTTTCAGTTTGGTTAAGTCTATAGAAAAAAAAAAATGAAGAACACTGGTCAATTCATTAGAGTATAGAAAAATAACTATAAAATGGGAAGCGGTGGTATGTTGGCAAACAGAAATATAATTCAAGATTACAGAGGAACCTGAAAACACTCATACGTAATTTTACAGAACTGACATCATACATCTGCTCAGTTTCTCTTGAATTTAACTAGTTTTCTAACAGGAACATGTGAAATTTGATGGCAGGTTTGTGTGCCAGCATATCACTTAGAGAGCAGAAAGAGCTTTGAAAATCTAGCCCTAGCAGGTTGTCCATCTTCACTCACTGTGCTTTAGGGAAGTTGGTGGTTCTCACTCATGTAGTTGTGTAAAGAGAACTTACACTGCTGAGAGAAAAGTCATCCAACACATGGAAAAGGAAAAGTATTATGGTATTCTGAGCTTCACTCAAGCAAAAGCACATACAATATCAAGAACTGATGGACTGTTGCAGTCATGTGTTCCAAAAGGTAGATTCAAATTTATAAAACACCTTTCTGGTGAAGTTACATTTGGAGAGCTCAACTGCGGAAGCACAAAGCAATTTCCTGTGTGTATCTCAACACTTAGATTCGTAGAATGGTTTGGGTTGGGAGGCACCTTTAAAGGTCATCTAGCCCAACACCCCTGCAATGAGCAAGGACATATTCAAAAAGTATGCATGTGATTTATGTGATTGCATTTGAGTAAGCACAAATGCAAGTGCAGAGTCACATGCACATTATTTTAAACCTGCAGACCACATTAAAACAGTTCAATTATTTTTGGTGCAGTTCAGAATTGTTTTAAAGAGGCATAATCAGGTTTAATCCTACCTGAATGTTTACTCTTTAATAAAATTTAATAAAGGTATCCTAAGCAGCACAGTGGCCTCCTGATGCAATAGAGGTAAAAAACATCTCAAGAAAAAAGAAAACTAATGGAAACATTTTGGCACTGGCTTTTTAGAATGGGCCTTTAAAGATGAGGATGGTGGATCCCCCTGGGAGAACAGAAATATACAGAAACATCACCTCAGTGCAGCTCTCATATTGTGATTAAAACCACAAAATAATTGCGTTCAGTGAAACAGTCAACAACTTAATAGAAAATAAATTATAAAACTCTCACTTCCCATAGCTAAATATCATTTTAATTAAGATTTCATCTCTGATACATTGATTTAACTGCTCACTCACGTTATTCATTAAAATGATTACTAACAGTACGACTTCAGTGGCACTTAAAATCTAATGAGAGAAGTAATCTGAAGCAGAGAATGATGCACATAGGAAAGGAGAATACTGCACCCATCTTTGCATCCAGGGGAGAGGAGAAGGGCTAGAGCACATAAGACAATATGCCTTTACATTTAGCATGTTACTCTCCTCCATTCAAGCTATGATGAAATGAAAAAAAAAACACCTGAAGTGTAGGCAGATCTATGGTAACTAGGCTGAAGTGCTTGGGTACAGAAAGATCATTTCAAAGCACAACGGTTTCCTTGGTTTGTGACTGTGGTGATTGCCTTTCAATACTCTTAAGTATTCTCAACCTGAGTCAGAAAAGAGAAATTAAATACATTTTGATCATTTCTCTTTTACAGAGCATAAATCCACAATCTCTACATCTTCTTCTCCCTAAGACCACAATTTTATCTTTGCTTCTCCCTCACCTTTCAAACAATATCCCAGAAAACAGACTAGGGCCCTGGATTACTCAGGAGTTTGGATTTCCCATTTGGCAAAACACATCTTCAAAGACAGTCAATTTTGCTAGGGAATTGTGGTTTGGGCCCGACATGACAACAAAGGAACAGCCACAAGGCCGCTCATTCAACTGCCCCACACACACTCTGGGAGGAGGAGGACAAAGCTCATGGGCTGAGACAAAGGACAAGGAGGGTTCTTCACCGATTAAGGTCCCGGGCAAAACAGACTCAAATTGGGGAAAAAATAATAATTTAGTTTCACACTAATCACACACACACAGGACACAGACACACACAGAGCAGGGCTTGCATATGTTACCCCACCCCTCCCTTCTTCCTGGGCCCAAATCACTTTGTTCCCGGTTTCTCTCCCTCCTTCCCCCCAGTGGCACAGGGAGACAGGGGATGGGGTTTAGAGTCACTTCACAGGCTGGTGGTTCCTGCTGCTCCTTCCTTCTCAGGAACAAGGAATCCTTACAGTCCTTCCCTGCTTCCCCACAGGGCCACTCCCATGGGAGAGAGTCCTCCACGAACCTCTCCTTTATGAGTCCATCCCACAAGGTCTGGAACAAGCTGCTCCAGCCTGGGCTTCCCACAGAGTCACAGGCTGCTTCAGGAACAACCAACTCTCCTGGCTCCAGGGTCTTCCAAAGCTGCGTGATCAGAGTCCACTGGCAGCAAATCCACTGGCCACAAAATCCAAGCCCAGTGGCCAAGTTCACAACTCCTGGTGCCTTCAGGGAATGTTCCACCATATTCCTCCATGAGTACAGGGGGACAGCCTGCCATCTCACCATGGGTTGCAGGGAAACTTCTGCTTGGGCACATTCTTCCCCAGCAACCACCAGCACCGCTCTCCTTCCCCAGCACAGCTCTTCTTCAAGTGCTTCTCTGCTCAGGTGTTATATGAGTTCTTTTGTATGTTAATCTCAGAGGCGCGTCTATTGTCCCTGTAATGCCTCCTTGACTGAGTTTGGAGCAGGGAGGATCTTCCCAGCTTCTTACCAGAGCCACTCCTGGCACCCTTCCCCTGCTATCAAAAAATCCACCAAACCAGAACAGGAATATAGTGACCAACAAGAAAAGCAACATGACGAATGTGCAAGTGTGATGTGCGTGTTTGCTGCAGCAAAGGCAAGAGTCTTACATGGGGCTGGGACACTGAGATGCACTCTAGTTCATTTAGGAAGGTAAATTCAGCTTGGAACATTTCAGTGTCACGGGCAGGAGGTGAGCATTCATTCAAATTCTTCTCCACGTTATGCTCTATTTTCCCTGGCAAGGAAGCAACATAGTTTGCTCCAGTGAACCATGGTAGTGCAAATATACAAAGAATGCACTTAAGTCCAAATGAGAACTGTGCTTTCAAAGTGAGCCTCCCAGTTGCCCCCATCTCCTGAGCTTTACCTACCATAGCAGAGATTCTGGAAGACTAAATCAGAAGGTGTGTTCAGGGAGTGCTGGAACCTACTAATGGGTCTTCAGTTCATGGGACTAGGTTAGTGCTAGTCTAAAGAACTAGTACAAACCACATACTGTGGGTGTTAGATACTCAACACAAACTGATTCTCTCT